GCTGCTCTCACACATCCACACCTTCTCGTGTGAAATTATTCCTGCTTACATTGCTGAACTCTGACCATTTGGTACAAAGCTGCTTCTACCTAATGCAAGCAAATGAAACTGCTCTACTGCTCCGAAATTAACACACTTGTGCGATTCTCCTAGAAACTATCAATGAGCAAGAGTTGTAATCCAATAGCTCTTGAAAAACAAGTCAAATCCAAAAGGACTACCCGGTCGAAAGATATCAATCCGGTCTTCATCCGCTTCTGCTTCAGGTCTTTCTCGGAAACCATCATTTGAATCGCAAATAAATGGGTGTTTGGTTGGCTACGAGAGGCATTGTCCCGCCATCAAACTAGCCAACTAGCCACATTTTCTGACTTTCTCTGTTTTCCATCCGTTACGCGTGCGCGTCCCTGTCCAACCCTTCTATGAGTTTGTCATTCCGTGAATTCAGATTATCATTTGCTCGCGGTATAGAGTCAGCTGGCTCCATCGCTCTTTAGAATGGCTAGCTCAATTCAATCCCGATTCATGCAGCTTATATTTGGTGGGTTTCATGTTTCTCATTACTGTGATACGCAGTTTTATTCATTCAAGTAAGTGGTTATTACAGAAGTAAAAATTGGAGTTTTTTCTTTGTTGTAATTTTCTTTCTAATAGCATGATTGTTATAAAAATCTTCACGTACATGCTTTGTGAGTACATTTTTCCTGCTTAACTACAACTGAAGCAGAACCTTCATGAAACATGTTTCAAAAGATCAGTACCATAGTTATCATAAAATATCAGCTATATTTGGGCAGAGGACTAAAAATTCTGCTTCAGTTGTAGTTAATTAATTGGCCTTGTCATACTTTCACTGGCCTCTATGTAGAGACCACCGTATTCTTCACGTTCTCGATTCGGTACTACAGTAAGTACAACTTGATTGAAATAATCTAATAAATCAATATGTAAGACTACTTTGTATCAAAAATAATTGGAAATATTCGCTACATTTCACGTCTTCCAATTTCTTTTTCATTATGCTAGGAAGAAAAGAAGGGATTTTCTGAGGTAGAAAGTTCTGTCAATACAGTGAAAAAGCTCTTTTTTTGCTATGCTTCTTTGACAGCAGAAAACGTAGCGGATTTTTTTGCAACACTTACTGTCAGGGTTTCAAGAGCTCTGTGACTGG